ATAGCAAAGAATACGGCATAGCATAGATAAAAGCAATAAATTTTATTTTATCTTAAATTAGCGATAAAATTCAAAAACATTTTCATAACATGAAAATTCTTTAACTAAATTATAGTGGAAAATGTGGACACAAGTTCTATTCATAAATGTTTGTATTAACAAATACATATTACAGACATTTGAATCATTTTGACTTGTAAAATATATATTTTTTTTTTACGGCAATATTGCACGTAGTACATAAATAATTACGCCCTCTTTATTCCAGTTTACGTAAGAGCTCGTTTAAAGCAAAACAGAATCACTAAAATTAGCAAAGATTATGAATGAAATAATTGTTGCTTCAAATGTTTCTCATTGAATGAGATTTTTATCTCTGACAAATGTGTACAGTCTGACGCAGTATAATAGCAATAGCAAATATGAGTTATTTGCAGCGTTTGTTAATAAATAAAAAGAAATAAAAAAAAAAACTTTCGAATAATACCACAGTGGAATCGCTTCTTCTGTGTGATATTTATTCTTAGCATATAGATAAATTAGTGTCTACTTTTAAATATGCTGTTTATCTTAAGTAGTAATTACAGTAATTGACTAAAAATCTTTGGGAATAGAAACTGTTTGATACAAATTCGAATATCTATAGGTTTTTTGTAAAATTACCTCGTCTAAATTTGTTTCTGTTCATTTTAAGTGCACGTTACTGTATAATCATGCAATTTTAGCGCCATTTATTAATAATGTCAGTATTATTGTAGCCGAAATGATAAAGATGAAGCCAAGTGTTTAATTTATGACTTTAGTCGTGTCATGGTCAATTTCGAATAAATTGTATATTTAGCCAGCGCTTCGACTGATTGACGAGAGCAATTTAAATAGGATCAGTCAACGGCAGAAGTGTCACGCCGCATACCCAAGTTCCTCCACATTCAATATACGTGCTTAAATGATTGTTTTATATGTGCATTTTGGTATTATCGGCAACGTTACACTTTGTAGGATGAATTAGTAATGATTCAGACATGAACTATTGAGATGAAAGCTTCTAAAGTTTTCCATAATTGATTTAAATTTCGTTAATGTCGATAAGCGTATATAGTACTTGAAATATTGAAGCAACCAGTAGGCGAAGGGATGATATTTCAGGCTAATAATTCTTATTTTTTCATAAATTTCCGTATTGGTCGCTAATCAGGGCGGCTACAGCCATTTGATGTCGGACTCCGCGTGGATTACTCTACTCCATTTTTTCTTTTAATAATAACAATCACAAACGTACTTACCCCCGTCAGGATAAAATTCCGCGGCTGCAAACTTAAAAATTCCGCCCTGTGTGAACTAAGCCTTACAGCAAACAACCATGAAAAACTGTGATCAATGTGGTCTTAATTTTCAGATTTATTTTTATTTCTGCGTCTTGTACATTCAAATTTTGTTTTTTTCCGTTCTATATGTAGTACGTATTACATCATAGAAACAGATACTTTGTAACATTCCTTGCAATTAATAAACAACATAAACATATTCTTGCATGATGCTTTTCTTTGTGCATATGTGATCTCCTTCTTGACCTTCATACAGGTCAGGTATAGCCTTGACTGTACGTTTCTGCTTAATTATTACCATTTGACAATGAATTTATTTTTAGTTTTTCATATGCGATTTGGCAGTTTTTGGTTGATACAGTTGCGAGTGGTATTGATGGAGACAAAACTAGATCGCAATCAAAGGAAACGGAAAATGAAAATTTTTGAGTATCTATCTTCCATTAAAATATTTTTTGTTATGTAAGCTTCTACTTTGCATGTCATTTGTAAATGTGCGTGCCTTCTTGTTTACTTTATTGTGCCCTAAATAAGTATCTGCTTGAAATGGATCCGTGTGCGCCGTTACTGATAAAGATAACGCTCGACAGATAACGCGTAATTACCTTGCTGATAACGTCTTATTAAACATTCGGGTACAGTTACATGGTTCATTTTTTTAACTTTTTATTAATTATTCAATCGGGCAGTTATTATAATCATACCAGCATTTATACATATTTACATGTTGAACCTGCGAGACGAATTAAATTTCACAAGATTTTCAATAATGAAATCCACGAAAGAATCCTTCAGAGCAAAACAGAGAAAAACCAATTTTCAATGTTAATGATATGTATCTGTTATATAAAATGTATAAGTATCTGTTTTACTTCCATTTATAATTAATAAACAACAATAGAATTAATGGACATTCGAAAAAGGTTGTTAAAGGTGTGTTTGGAGGGCGGCGTTGTACGGGTGCGAAACATGGACAGCCTTCGAAATGTGGTGTTATAGGCGAATGATGAGATAACGTGGGTAGAAAAGGTTAGAAATGAAGAGGTATTAGAAAGAATTGGAGAACAGACGACTCTATGGAAGTCAATAAAAAATAGGCGAGATAGGTTGGTAGGACACCTTCTCAGGCATGAAGGTGTAGTCAGAGACATATTAGAGGCAGAAACAGGAGTTAGGAGGGGTAGAGGTAGACCTAGGTTAGATTACTGTTCACATATGCGAAGTTTAGCTCAGGATAGGAAAGAGTGGAGGTACGTGTCCAACCAGTCTTAGAAATGATGACCCTATGATGACAAAACAACAATACCTTAACAATAGAAGTTCATGTAATCTGTAATGCTATGAGACTAAATGTAAAGAAAGCATCCGTAATACTTATAGGGGACCTCACAGTTCACATTATCCCAACTTGGCTATCGTATTTAAACCCAGTTACTCGAGATAAAAATGTTCAGTCTCTCAAAATCTCTGAAAGCGAGACTCGAGTCTCCGTCTCTCATCGAGTCTCTCTGGTGTCGCGCAGAGAGACTGTCAAAAATACTGTTTAGCATCTCTAAACGAGAGACTCGAGTCGTTCATAGAGAGATCCTCATTTCGTATCCAGTCTCTGAACGAGACACTCGAATCCCTGAACGAGAGACTCGAATCTCTCAATAGGTGGTGTCTCGATAGACATAGTTAAAATTTTCTATGTTTAACATGCTTCAGAGATCCCAGTCTTTCAACGAGAGACTCGAGTCTCTCAATTTTTCAGTTTTATTTATTCAGTCTCTCTGTGAGAGACTAGACTCTCTGAATTAACAATTTTATCATTCGAGTCTCTCATACAGAGACTGTGAGAGATCCATAAAAACACCTAGGCAATAACTGAGAGACTATGAGAGACGCTCTCAGAGGCTCTGAAAGACTAAAAAGAGACGGAAAATTTTTGTCTAGGGATATATATAAATCACTGTTATGAACGCAAGAAAATTTACTGACAGTGGGAATATTTTTATTCTAAAGAAATCAGACATTGAGTTTTTACATTAATAGATAGAATACTAAATGTTGAAGGGAATAAATTCCTCTTTCGACGGCGCGACGTCGTTGTTCCTGTAAACGAACTGCAATCGCGATAGAGAACTGCATTCTCTCGGTAGCTCACGTTCCGTAAAAACAAATAAGAAACGACGCCACTAAGGGATACATTCGTATAAATACATAGAATTGCAAATGGCAAGAGACAGGCAGACATAAAGAGGTTCAAAAAGTTCGCGGATCTTACAACCGAACAAATAACAATGAGGTCTCGTGGCGATAAAAATATACATAGTTTCATAAATCCTTGGAGATTTTATAAAAGCCATCAACAACTTTAGCGTTTTAGTAGAGTAGGTATAGGCACTTTTAACATTAATAAACTCATGCTTAAACTTGCTTATGTTAAGGGTTCCGAAAGAGAATGTGAAGCGGAACCTTTTTAATTTCGTCGCAATCGTCCGCAATTTAATTGGTTTAGTTTACAGTTCAAAAACTAATTTCATTTAATTTCTTCTCATAATTAAAGAGTAACAGTTTAAATAAAACTCAGTACCTACCTACCTATTAATTTTTGCAAAAGTTTTTATTTACCTATATTGCGAAAATGATTTTCCAATAAGTAAACAATACAGTTAATCATATGAAACATTAAGCTTAGGAATTCAATATCTAAAAAATTTGAAAAGCGTAGATTCAAGCATTTATTCAAAAACTTCTAACTAAAATTGTTGCTTAGACAGCTTGAATTTAAGAGATTAGTGAATCAAGATATTTTTGTATACATCTACATAATTTTATACATAATAACTGCCGTAATTTAAATGAAGCCAAAATGCAAAATATCGAAATAAAATGATGTAGTTAAGTAATTTGGTCGTCACCTGACAATGATTCGTGGTATAGTAATTAACAAATGACACTATTATTTTGTCGATCTTCACTAATTTTATTGTTTTTAGAGGTTAGACCGTTCGAAGAAGTTGCTGCTGTGCACTGATAATGAAACAACTATTACGGAAAACTTGTAATCCAATAAACTTGACAAATTGGTAAAGATTTTCACAAACTGATACTATCCTGATTCGGGTTGCTTCCTAACGTTTCGCTAACACGAGTGGCGAAAATCCAACATCGGAGATGGAAGGACCTCTGAAGAAGCTTGCCATTCGTGCTACCGAAACGTTAGGAAGCAACTCCACCCGACGACGGCTTTTACAGCCCAATCAGGACAGCGTCAATTCATAATAAACTTAAAGGACAAAATAGTAGTGTCATGATATACTTTTCAATTCAAATAGATTGTATGTTAACGAATGCACATCTTGATCCTTGATGTAGTATCATCGGCAAGTTAAGCTATTATCTAGGATTCAGCAGTACGCAACAAAATTACATTTTTCAATTTTCTCACAATTATTATTTTGAAAGAAAAACAGAATTTTTATTGAATAGAAGGACATTTGTTTCAATCCCTTCACACTTCTGCATTTCCATAACGAATCGTCGACTATTAAAGTATTAATGTAGCTCGCGATCAGAATTAGACTCCTCCTTTCTGTTGCTGAAGGAAGAGAAGCGCGGAATCGCTCGCGGATTTCCTCCAGTCACTCACACGTATAAACCGAAGGATTCTAGCGATTGCCTTCCATTCAGACGCGCGAGAGCTCACCACAAACATACAGTCACACTTAATCACGTCGATTACAATCACACGAACACGTGGAACAGTATTGTATATGTGTGGGTGTGTGTGTGCGTATTTGTGTGTCTGTGTGTGAAATACTAGAACTAGAACCGAAGCAAACCGTGAAAGCAACAGTCAGTGGTGTGTTCGTCCGGCTTAGGTTTTGTACGCATCCTGACGACGACGACGACGATTTGGACGAGCGTCACGACGTCCGACCGTGCTGCTTTTGTTGTTGAGTTTTACTCGTTTTCCATCCCGTTGAGTGTGAGCATGTGACCGGCACTTTAAGACATACCGTTAGTGAACTCGCAAACAGGTGATCAGGTCTCAAATCTCAAAATCATTTCACTGTGAGTTTCATTCAGCGAAAGAAAGTTTGTGGATCTTTACAATAATTTCATTACATAATTAATTAATTTTTATATTGAGTGATTTGTGTTTATTTTATGAATCGCGTTACCTTTTACATGAGAGATAACAGTAGATTTTATTGAGTTAGATCCCAACGATAAGCTTATTGCTTTAATCTAAGTTGTTCATCCTAAAACTATCAACAAGTTGCGAAAAAATTACTCGCTTTTACTGATTACTGTAAAGATGCAGAACAATTTTCAATAGTTTTCTTTTAATGCTGCGTGAAGGTCCACAAGTTTCTGTAAGCAAAATTTTGATTGTTTCTTCGTGAAAAAACATTATGTGCCTAAGTTAGAAATGATGATATTATATTTCTAAAAGGTTTTATGCATACAAAACAATTTAAAATGTCGTTATTAATAGAATAGCACAAAACGAAATCATTTCTAGAATGAATTGAGTTAAGTAATAGATAAAAATTTTATCAACATATATCTGGAATATTTTGTAAGCTGTTTCTCACGATAGACGTTACGTTATTTTGAGACAAAAGATAATTACGATTTTTATCAGTTAATATTTTTACTACCGTTATTAACCAGAACAATTAGGTTTTAAGATGAAAATTACATGTATGCAAAGTATTCACCATGTTTCTATTGTCGAAAACTGAAAAAGAAAATAAGTATCAATTCCATGACGTTTAGTAGTTGAAGAAACAAATTTAAAAAATAAATTCCAAAAATAAAAGTATGAATTCAATACGTTTCAAAAATTTGTAAAATAATTTCGGCAGCTTATACTACAATTTTTGCAGAAATAGATGCAGTTGGTGGATTTCCCAGTTTAGAATTTTAGCTTTTTAAAACCTAATACAAATAATAAAATTTGCGTATCGTAGCTATTGCCTTCAACCAACCCTTCTTTAGAGTGATAAAGAACATTAAAAATGATTCACAACAACCTTTCGAAATAAAATTCAGAAATTATATTAAATGTTTCTGTTTTTTAAAATCCAATCGATAAATTTATAAAAATACTTCAGTCAAGCTTGTTAGAGGTTTTCTTTTTATATTGTGCTAAAATCCGCCAATAAATAATATTGAACCGCTTAACATTTTTTATAAAGTAAAGGAAAAGTTCTTAACTTTTTAAGAAAAAGCTTTTTGATATAAGTGATGTTATTAAATTTTTACGAAAATATTCCTTTCAAGTTGACCTGACGTTACAAAATGGAACTGTTGTTCTAGTCAGTGTAGGCAGAAATTGCATTTCCTTGAAGTGCACATTAGGCAATGTTAAATGGGTAATCAGGTGTTTAAGGTGAACAAATTCATTAATCTTTACCAAATTCGATTGGTTATAGCCCACGAAACTTTTTTTACGGTAACGTATTTGTTTTTCTATTTCGAGCATAACAATTACAACACATGTTAATGGCAAACGTAAAAAAAGTATTGCGCGAATTTGTTTATTCTGCCTGTCGCCGCGTAAGCCCACGCAAAGTTGGTCACAAAATGTGTGTGCAATTTCGGCGCTATTGTGCGTGACTAAAACCAAACGGGACAAAATGTGAAACTAGGAACGAGGCTGTTATTAAGTTTTCCCGTCCTTAATTAGCCACTGACGGCGTAAGGGTTGAATGTAAATTGTTTCGGCGGTTTGGGGTTGCTGCCAGTCGCGTTTATCAGTTTAAATTTGTTGCTTTAAATCGAGAACTTTTGACCCGCACATCTTATTCTTGTTCTTATGTTGTTTCGTTTGTTTAACGAATTAGAAGCACGCACAACATCAGCCGCGTATGATAATGAACGTTTTCTGTTAACTAATGAGAGACTTACATACATACTTATTGTGTTCAAGTCTCAGGTCTTTAAAATGCCGGAAAAGTTCACTAGCAGTCTGTTTTGTTATCACACGCCTGGAGAGTTAGATTGATATGCTATTTTATGACTTGTACTATCTAATTACAGAAAAGTGGCTCCAGATTTTAGTGTCCGACCGAAACTGGTTTTTACGACCGAAACCGAAACCGAAACCGAATTTCAGCAACGGTCTCAGTTTCGGCCGAAACCGAAACCGAAACTTCCTTATAAGGACCATGTTTTGAGAGAAAATAAATAAAACGTTATTATAATCAGTCAGTTTTATTTTTTTATCTTTAAATCACATAGCTCTGCAATCTTTGACATTTTCACTCATTGATAATCAAATCAAAATCAACATAACAACCCCTCATTTAAGGAAATACTTTAATTGCGCCTTAAAAATAGTTAAAATAGGTGAGATGTTTATTTGAGTAAGTATAGTATACGAGGGTGGATTGATAAGTTTCCGGCCTGACCAAGAAAAACAAGGTTTTTAAAAATTTTTTTTTTTTATTTCTCAACATAATCTCCTCCAAGGCTGATACATTTCTCATAGCGGTGTTCCAGTCTATTAATGCCATCTCTATAGACTGATTCGTCAAGCTCCTCAAAATAACCATTTACAGCTTCGATTACTTCTTCATTGTCCGCAAATCTCTTACCGCCAAGCCATTTTTTGAGATTAGGGAACAGAAAATAGTCACTCGGGGCTAGGTCTGGAGAGTAAGGAGGGTGCGGCATCAATTCAAACTTTAGATCGTTGATTTTAGCCGTCGCAACGATTGACGTGTGCGCTGGTGCGTTATCGTGATGAAACAAGATTTTTTTCTTCGCCAGATGAGGTCGTTTAATTTTCACCTCGTGGCTCAAACGTTGCAATAAGTCTGCGTAGTATTGACCAGTGATAGTATTACCCTTTGCAAGGTAATCAATGTATATAATACCTCTTGCATCCCAAAAAACAGTAGCCATAACCTTGTTCGCCGAAAAAATTGTTTTTGCCTTCTTTGGAGTTGGTTCCCCTGGTCCAATCCACTGTTTAGACTGTTCTTTGGTTTCAGGAGTGTAGTGGTGGACCCACGTTTCGTCAACGGTTACGAATCGACGCAAAAATTCGCTTGGATTACGCTTATACAATGACAAATTTGCGGTAGAAATGTTTTTTCGAATCAATTTTTGGTCGACTGTTAGCAAACGCGGCACCCATCTTGCACAGAGCTTTTCCATATGCAAATGTTGGTGCAAAATATGTTGCACACGTTCATATGACATCTTACAGGTCTCAGCTATCTCACGCACTTTCAATCTGCGGTCTCCCAGCACTATTTGATGAATTTTTTCGATCATATCTGGAGTTGTGACCTCAACGGGGCGTCCTGAGCGAGGCCCATCAGAGGTGCTCACACGACCCTTTTTAAACTCGGAAACCCACTGCTTAACGGTTGAATATGACGGGGAGGATGTCCCCAGTGTTGAGTCCATCTCTTTTTTAATTTCCTTCGGCGTTAACCCCTTCAAATAAAAGTATTTGATGACAGCACGATTTTCCTGCTTTTCCATTTTTACGAAAACCACAGAGGCGTCTTGTTCAGCGTGCTGTCAAACCTACACTAGCAAGGAGATCGGGCTGAAACTATAGCTACAAGCTATCCAAGGATGGTACTATAGAATGTCACCTCAAGGTAGGCCTAGTGGCGTCATCTCTTGGTTAGGCCGGAAACTTATCAATCCACCCTCGTACTTCGCTTGAATGGAATTTATCGCGCCTAACATGACCGAGCAGAGGGCGAGAACTCCCGAACGCAGTTTCGGTTTCGGTTGTAGTTTCGGCAGATTTGCTGCCAAAACCGAAAATAAACCGAAACTCGTTTTTTTGCCGAAACTCGACCGAAACCGAAACCGAAACCGAACTTTCGGTCGGACACTACCAGATTTCACTAATTTTTTTCTTCGGATTCTGTTAGAATCCTTGAGTCCTGAGTTTCTTTCGCCAATAACGAAAAACGATTATATATAAACATATACGACTTTTAATTACTTAAAAATAATGTGTCTAGTTTCACTCTTTTCTTAAGTAAATTAATTGTCTCTAATTAGAAGCAGCCTTTGAAATTATGTCAGAGATGTACTTCTTTAATGAAAAGTTTAACTTGAAATTCTAACTCTGGCTTGTCTACTTATTTTTACGTGAGTTTTCCTTGGTTGTCGGGATGCTAAAATATAGACTTCACTTAATCTGTCTCTTAAGTTTAAAAGCACTCATGAACGCAATTCAAGTAGTGTTGGAAAATGCATTCTTTGAAACGTTCCGGTAAACGTCGTTAGTTAAATATTCTATCAAACTTTTACATTATTTCGTAATTAATCCCTTTCATTATTGACTTGTTCCTCTTCGTCAAGTAACTGCATGTAAAGGTTGGCCGAAGTTATAATTAAATTTTTTAATTTTGCTCCAATAGTTTTTCATTTACTCGGCTTAAAATTAGGTATGCACATTGCTAGTATTTTTTAACAGATTTTCGAAGCAGTTGCGAGATAAAAACATTATTAATCTATATATCTACGAATATGTAATTACGAAATCAGGTAAAACTGTAATTGTATTTCTACTTCGTCTTATTATTTTGATCTCAATTTTTTATTTTTATCGACTATAGTTTGATAGCTTTAATAAAACAAAATTACCAACTCGTGAACTTCAGCAGAAATTATATTATATCGTATGATCCTATTTTGTGTAAACTTACAAGAACGACTTGCATATTGAAGGATATTTTAGGACCACTGTTTCTAAGTCCGACAGTTACAGAAGCAATTGATTTGCTTATTCGACTTCGACGAATAATAAACCATAGATTCCCGTAAATTTGAAATTTTTGTAGGCAATGACTTTTATGAAGGTGAACCTTCCTCCGAATAGCTGATCTAATTTTAAAACTGTTTGTAAAATAATAGTTTCAACGAAATGGAGGTAATGACACTTACATTTGTAAAGAAAATTTAATAGTTTACAATGAAAATATTTGTTCTTTCTTAAACTCAGATGTTATAATAATCAATTTGAAATTTTCATGACATTTTTGTACCAATTGAACTATATTATTTAAGTATGTTAAATTTATGTGAAT